CGTATGCACTTCTGCAACGCTGCATTTTCAGCCAAAAGAGGTGTGCCAAAGAAAGCTGATTGTTAGTTGGAGTCAACCAAGCACCGCTAAAGGTTGCCCGCGCATGGTGTTGCACCATGTATGGCATCGGCACTATGTGACGTCACGGGGTCCATTTTACTAATTCTGCTAAGCTGCTGCTTGCCACCATGTACCATATGGCAAGAACGACTATACCTGCTACCACCACCACTACGACGACGACTACTGCTGCTACTACTACTGCTGCTACTACTAACTACTACTACTACNNACTACTACGACTACTACTGCCACTGCCACTGCCACTGCCACTGCCACTGCCACTACCACTACCACTACCACTACCACTACTACTACTACTACTACTACTACTACTACTACTCCCTCTTGTGGTTTGCTCAGCAAGGCAGGAGGCAAAATCACTACTATGACTTTTACAACCACTACGGGTATGACTCCTGCCGCTATCACCATTCCCTTACAATGAACTGTGCAGGTAGTGCGAAGCAGAAATCTTTACCGCCTACCACCGAAAATTAGAAGTTCAGCGAAGATGGCAACGACTATGTTCAATCGTACAAAACACTTCGGCCAAGCGAGGCGGTGCAATTCGGAGACCAGAGACGGTTTTTTGTTTCCAGGGCTTGAGAGCATGATCTGCCAGTGGCTATCCAGTTCTCCTTCGTGGCATAAGTCTACGTTGCTTGCAGCAAATTGACATCAAACAACCTTAGCCTTACAAGATGCAAGGTTGTCAGGTTATCGCCACAACCGATCCTGGCAAGCCGCAATGCCAGACCAGCCGGGCAACTGTTATTTTCCCCTTTCTCGTGCAGGTACGTCCCTTTCAATGCCAAGGAGAAGTTCAAGAGCCTTGGACGGCAGACTCAGTGGTTTCGGGAAGCACTTCAGATCTGTAGGTCTGCTCTGCGCAGCCGACGAGTGCAGTTGTAAGCTGCAGCAAATGTCCATTTTGTTCGGCACTTTTGCGGCTTGTCTATATACAACAGTGCCACTACTAGCACTGCCTTTCAGTAGTAAAGCCGAGAGACTGCTCCGCACTGAGCCAATTCAAGACATTGCAGGCACTGGGGGTTACCGCAGGAGGCTTTTGAGACCTGGGCATTTTACCAGCTCCGGGTCTGAGATGCCTTAGGATCGAATCCGAGATCCACCGTGCTGTGGTGGCCAGAGATCCAAGGCCACTGCAGCTTGGGCTCAGGGTTTGACATAATTCTGGGCTCCCTGCCTCCGAAGTCGACTGCGGATATTCTGGGTCGGTAGTGGAGAGGGGGTTTTACACAGGTGCCTGATTCGGGGGAGCCCTGAAAACTCTCAGGGTAAAAACTCTTGGTGACGCCTGTCGGTCACAAAAGTGTTTGTTTTTTGCCACCATATTTCGCAGACACAAATCTTGTCATTCGCTGGGGCCGCCAGAGCTTCGAAATTTATTGAAACTGGGTTTAGGGGTTAGGGTGGTATCAGATTTTACAAAGATTCTGGGGTGAGCGCTGAGGGCCCCTCCCTCCAACCACGGGGACGAACAATTACCAATAGTGTTTTTTTCAGGGTTCCTTAACATAAATAGTGTTCCCCGGAACTCTATTCTAGTTATCAAGGCCACTGCATATCATGCAGTAGGCTTCGTTGTTTCTACAAGCCTCATGCAGGAACACCAACTTCCTGGAGTACAGGAGCTACAAGATCATCTACAGGCGCTTCCTGTTTTCGCCCATGTATGCCGCCGGTGAATATGCGATGCTCCGTTCATCACGATCTGCGTGTCACGCCAGCGACAGACTACCCAGTGCCCTGAGCCCTGCATCCCCTCCTTCGGTGCCCCACCTGATGATCAAAATCTGTGCTGCTCCACAGACCAAGGCGGGCAGGGCCGAATTTGGGTTGTCGGATGGGCCTTCCTGTACTACTAATAAATGGTAGTCAGTTGCCTTGTTCCGATGTCCACTTTTCAAACTTCGTAATTGCGGACTGCAGGCGATATGCGGGAATGTTCTTCATCTTCTGCCCCTCGGAATTCAAAAGCTTTGGAGCTTTTTCGAGGCTGTCTTACTCAATGTTTCTGCCCCTCTTGTTGCTCGGTGTCTTCTTCATCTGAATGTGTAGTCAGGGTGTATGAGGGCCTCAGATTTTGATGGCACAGTAGCAGACATGCGATCATACGTTGTCGTAGTACTCGCATGTACTCGCAAGAGCAGCTGGCCTACCCCTTTGTTGCGGACCGTTTGAGCATCGACCACTCGAGTCGTTAAAGCCCAGTCAAATAACCCTGACCCCAAAGCCGAAACTGTCATGATCTAAGGCGTTGACATGAATGACAACGAGATGGGAATGCTGGACGGGCCCAGGGGTTCAGGTGTGCTTCAGGCGTTTGGTCAGTTGGTCAGGACCAATGATCACTGCTTGCGGTTGAGGAGGAGGGCTCTGATGCGATCAGCCTAATGTGTGAACCTGAAGCTGTGCCGAATCAGCCACTCCGCATCTTTCAGTCTGCCTGGCCTAGCAGAATCTAGCATATGCATAATATTTTCGTGTGTTGTCATTTTAAGGGAAGTAACTTCTCTGCATATTGAAGAACACAGTCTGTCCTCCTGGGTTGTGTATCTTCAACGGTCACGAGGCTTGTACCCGGAATGGTTCCGTGGGTGGGAAGCTATGCCCGAGAAGCCGTAAACTCCCACCGACAGGAGCTCATCCATCTCTTCGTGGAAGTGTTGGATGGGCAAGAAACTTACCGACTTATCCTGGCCCTGCACATATCTCGTTTTTGTCTTTTGTCGCGCATCGGCGGAGCCTTTGAGCGTAGAAAAAGATCAGGTACTTCGGCAATGTTTGCGAACTGGACCTAGTCTTCCACTTCGACAAGGCCGGGACATTCGCTGCCGTTGTGGCCAGTCGAGCATTTAATGCAGCATGTGCTAGCGACAAAGAGACAACAAGAGATAAAAAGACAGAACTCGTAAAGCACTTTCACGTCACATCCTGGAGGTCTACCGAATCTTGGACGAGCTCTTGCTTGCGGGAGAAATCTCCGAGACGTCCACGCGAACCCAATCAGCAAGAAGTGTGCGAGTGAGAGCTCCTAGCAAAAATATATAAGCATATCCGTATATATGTCTATCTATATGTAGGTATGTGCATATATATATATATATAGATGTACACGCATACGGCTGCAAAGCGGTGTCAAAGCTTCGCAAAATAGACTTCGACAGAGTAGAGATGCAGGTTCAGGGTTTTGTCTCCTTTGACACTGAATTTGCCGAGCCAAGGAAATATCATCACAATCATGAGGCGGGGTGCGGCTGTTGTCTCAGCTTCCAGCGGCTGGTTTTTGCAAATCATCCGAAAGCTATTTCCCCCCGATGTCGTATCTCCAAATGAAACATCCAACCTTTATGGACTTGCACCCGTTATGACTTACATCATCACGCACTCGAGGGCTGTGATTCATTCCGGACAAAGCCATTGAACATCGGAGTTGTTCATTCGTCAGCAACTGCCCGGCTCATGTGGCCAGGAGCGTAGACAAGATGGACTGACGGCCCGCGCATGAACCCCCATCCCAGCCCAAGGAACTCCGGGGTCAGAAGATAATGTGGCAGCACTTCTCCGCCTGAAAACCTGAACTCCTCCTTGCGAGGTAGCCGTTTGCATCTTGTTTTTCTATCACTGCATCCCCGAGGGTAGCAGAGCTTACTTCTAGAAAGCGTTGTTTGCTTGCTTCATGCACTGGTGCTACTTCAGTGCAGTATGACTGCTACTCATGTCACCATTACCTAAGCAACACGCTTGTCAGAGAGAATGGTGCGTGCATTGCATTTGCCGAACTTCCCACCCCTGCTTTTGCAAAAAAAACTGGTCATTCCAGCGTTTCACCACACGTGAAGAGCAGCCAAGCCAGCGGTAGACGCTTTTAGCTGGAGCCTGCCGCGCTACAAGCTGGCAATCTGCTGCTCGTTAAAAACAGTTGAATGTCCAGCGCTTGCGGATGGTTGGTCTGGAGATGTCTGGATCACAGGGGCTGTAGCGGTTTGCAAGACTGGCTATTCCCTTTGGAGCAACCCCTCCTCGCCCTTCGCATACGGTGTGTCGGTGGTCTGCGGTCCTCATATCATGACATTCCGTTTCTGAGTCCAGTTTATTGGCTTTCTCAACATCAAACCTGCAAACGGTCGCTATGGCCGCTATGGCCTTGCACCAATAGGCCAACACTTCTCCGGGGTCTCAACACATCATCTTACCAAATCCGCGCGAAAACTTGACCCAGAATCCAGTATCGTTATTAACTTTACTATTGCTATTGCTCTTATGGTTTTTCCTCACTTATTGTTAATTATTGTTATGACTATTACTTGTGTTTGGATTGTCCAAGTTTGGAGCGCCGAAACCCAAATCCGGTCTTTGGCTCAGCCGGCAAGAGAGTTGCAGCTTCCGCGTAGAGCACATTCGCCCCTGAGCCAGGACCCTGGTAGCTTGTCTATTGGGGGAGTTCGGATAACGACTTTTGGGGTTTCAGGGTTTCTCGGGGCGTGGAATCAAGATGTGCTGCTGGGGTACTGAGCGGCTGGAAGAGGAAGGGGTCCACGGGTTTGTGCTTTTTGGAATGTGCCACGCGAAGAAGGTTCCCTCAGCAGATACCGGCTTGCCTTCTCTCGCGAGAACTGGTTTCGAACGCCCGCTCAGGGCAGCCATTGTATTCAATGTAGGGGCCTCAGCCCTAATTATAGCGCATATATATATATATATACACCCTAAAGCTTAAAACCCTGTTCTAATTAGTAATCGTTTATATTAAACGGGGATGCCCTCCTGAATAAAACCTCGGAAAGTGTTTGTATTGTTAGGGTATATTTTTCTGTACTGTCACTTTTGAGGGTTGTGCTCTTGCTCCTGCTCTGGCTCTTGCTCCCGTGCTGGCTTATGCTCCTGCTTCTGCTGCGTCTCGTGCGCCTGCTCCTTGCTCCGTCTCTTGCTCTTACTCCCCTCTTGCTTTTAATTTGCTCTTGCTCAACTCCTGCTCTTGCTCTTGCTTTTGCTCTTGCTTTTACTGTGCTCCACTAGTAGTTGGAGCCTCGAAACCCCCCTTAATTCGGAAAAGGTTTTAAAGGGCAGGGATGATTTCGGGAGGATTCGCCCCAACGTGTTTTTGTGCAGGGGGTGTTTTATAAAAGTGGGAAATGAATAAATGTAGTTAATGAATGCTGGCATGTCCGGAACTCCCCGCGACACTGGGGCCTTGCAGTGGATACATCCCGTCACCCCAAATCAGTTGCACTTCGGCGAACGAAGCTAGGGCCAGAACCGCATCAACTCCCAAAGAGTCCACCTCAGAAGGTATGAAATACATCCTCAAGCCACCTCCTTTTGTACAATACGCCCTGGGAGGAATCATGTCTGGTCGAGGTCGATCCAGGTGCTGATTCCTGGGATAACGAGGGCTTTCCAGGTCGAAGCGAGGATTATCTTACAGAGGCTTTACCCATGTGTTCAGATTTCAGGTCCGTGTCGCTGCTGGGATTCCGAGAGCTGACAAACTCCTACAGCCGTGTGTGACCTGGGATGTGTATGAACCTTTGCATAGCACCAAGCTCAACACCGGGCTTGCAAGCGCCTTGTATAGGCAAATCATCCCTTCTTGGCCACAGCTACCACCTGCCTGAAAGTAGAAGTTGGACATGACTGCAAGGCACAGTCTTTCTGTGCTGTCGAGTTTCAGAGCACCATCGCACTTGACTCAGCAGCTTGCCACGTTGCAGGTTTGCCTCCGGGCGGGGCCTGTCGCATGTAGCTGCCTCGGGCTGAGACTTCCGGTAACTCTGAATTTCCGTGGCTCTTCCAGTCTTGGCACTAAAACCAGCCAAACAATCTTGGACACTGTCACTATACACAGGGACTTCAGCTCATCACTATCTAGGATAGTCAGAGAATGAGATCAGCGGAAAAAGCATCTTCGAGCCCCGCGGCCGCGAAGCAAGTTTCGGGCTTCACGAGTTCTATAGGGGCGTAAATAATTACTTATACCATTGCCATTTTGGGGGGATCCTTATTATAATTGTAGTATAAAGGGCCCCAAAACCCTAGTCTAATTATTAAGACCCCTATATTAATCAATTCCAACGCATCCTCTCTTGAGGCCGTGGTCGGCTCTTTTCTCATCGCTGCCTCGCTCCTGAGCATCGCACGACTGTTTGTCCAAGACCCGGATGCAAACCACGACTTTTTTTTCTTTTTGGCTGCCGAAAGGATCATCACATACATGAAGGCTCCTATACAGACCATATCCACCAGACATACTGTACACTGAAATGGATGCACATGCCCAGAACATACAGCATGTTGTCCTTGTTCTCTCCACCATACTGTTCAGATGTGCATTGATGTATTTCCTAGTCCATGTACATTGGACACGGCCAGAAATACATAATATGTAAATACAGATATGGATAGATAGACCCGTAGATCGATACATAGATCGAGAGATCGAGGGCTAGATAGGTAACACCTTCCAGGTATAGCAGTGAAGCATTCTGCATCGATTATATTACATGATATTACGTGCACCTCATATTCAGCTGGATCTTGTTCTTCTTGACTTCGGTGCATGCAACTGTGTGCACACATGCATCCACCTGTGCATATGTATGTGTAAGTGCGTGTGTGTGTATATATATATATACATACATATATATATATATATATGCACAGATTGCTATATATGTGTATGTCTAGAGAGTACATATATGTGTCTATGTACGACTACACACACGTACACACAGACACCCGGATGAATATAAAAGTTGAGTTTATAAATATACACACTTGTATACATACTTCTAGTTGCGGTTGTGTTTATCTTCACTCGTTTTGTGCGTGGTAAGACTACCACGGCATATTGCGTTGAAGGGGCGTATGTGTATGTGTGCGTGCATGTGTGTCCTTTCCTGAACGTGTGGCGTGTATGTCAGTCTGTGTCCGTGGTGTGTTTTCTTATGTTGGCATGAATGCCTATTTGTGTATATACCTGCGTGATCTACGCCGTAGAACCTACGCACTCATACTCTCTGGCAGCTGTTCATTGACAGACTCATCTCCTGGTGAGGTCGCGACGCCACAGACTGCATCACGGGGAGCTCTTCTGGCTGCGCCCTGAGGGGTCTCCTGGTTACCATCTTCGCGCAGGTCTTCAAAGGAGTCGGGACCTGACTGTTGCACAAAATTTTATACAGACTACACGCCACACCTGAAAGCAGCTGTGCACAGAGGGCAATCCAGCATCTCCTGGTTCTTATTGTAACAAGTAATTAGATGGCCCCGCTGCTTAGGTGCTTGCCCTTAATTAACGCTAAGGCCCCAAACCCTATCCATAAGGCTCGCAGAGCTGCGCCGGCACTAGCGCCTGAACCTCAGCCTTTGTCTTTATTGTGGTTTTATGCCGATCATTTGGGATTTGTGGTATTGCGCATGGGTTGTGCCGAAAGCTCGTAGCCGCGAAGTGGCCAGTCTCGCATTGCAGTCATGAGTACTGTCTTGTGGGTCAGGCTGGGCAGTAAGGGCGGCAGTCGAGTCCCTTGTGAAACAAATGGTATTGCGCATGTATTACCCATGGGGCTTCTGCAGTCTGCATACGCGGTGAGGTGAGTAGGCGGCACTGCTCGATCCCAGTTTGCCCAATCGAACCGGGATTGTGTGCACTTCAAAACCTATATGCTTTAGATCTGGACCTTTGTTCTTGGACGATGGCATGGTTGAGTTACGCTCTTTTGAGCCAACTCTACAACTCTACCACAATCGCGCTCAGCAGTCATCTCAATCTGCGAACGAGGCCAGCCCCCACACGCAGCTCGCAGCCAAGCGCCCCACTTCCTATCGACCACAGCCGCTATGGCGAAAAGGCTCGAGATGCACCGCGCGTGTTTTCCATATTCGAGGCATGTCGGATAAGCTTGGAATCGTCGGGCTTTTTGAACAGCTGGCAACAGCAAGTTGGAAATCGATTCCTGGATCACGAGTCACACACGGTAATCACCTGCAGAAGCAAAGCTTTCAGCACGGACATGTTGCGGGTCACAACAGCGAGCTCAGCTTGGTGCAGGTGCGATGGTATGCGGAGCCACAGATGTCAAGGCACCATGGTACATTATACAGTGGCCATAATAATCTAAGAATTTCCAATAGCATTCCTTAAGGTTCCTTAATAATGAATAAATATCCCAACAATACTGTACTCTGAAAAATATTGAGGTCGTTATTTCCTACATTACATCGTCAAGAAGGAGATGCCAAGACTGGCATCGGGTTTTGCAACACCAAAGCTTTATGGGGAGTTGTAGCCGCCGGTGTTTACGTCTTCGGCGCAATCGAAGCACGGAGAGTCGTGATGGAAGAGTGGTGCCCATTCATAGTTTCACCCCTCCTCTGCTCCAGAGGTTCCGACACGGATTCAGCGTAACACGCGCCGTTGCCGTCGCATAAAGCCCCCACTCCGCCCTCGCCCCTCCCTCAAAGATCGAAACAACTCGAGATGACAGCTGGAGCATACCGTCGTCAGTGGCAGGTGTGCCCTACGTAAAAGTTGAGAACTGGGGGCATGCTGCTGACGGTGAAGTCCTGGATTTTGGCCGGTTGAGGAGCATGGGGAACTCGATGTTTCCATGTTTACTTGCAAGAGCCATGGCGTTAAGGATGCTACTTGTTGTTTAGGCTTCTGCAGTAGAAGCAGAAAACTCTCTTGAAGGCCTCCAGAGTGGCGGGTGCTGCTCCTGGATAAGACCTTCAGGCCCAATTGCTTTGGTGGCTTCGTCTAGTGGCCTGGTTGAAAGACCTGGGGGCCTGTGAGCCTGTGTGCATGCGCGTTTGAGACTTTAGGGGCTTGAAGGCTGGGCTGCACGGTCATGTGTGGCAATCATAGATGTTTGGGGTAACCCGCTGTTCCTTTCGTACTTTTGCTCTTGAGTCGTCCTTTTCAGCCTTTATCTCGGCCGCCAGGTTTTTGTTGGCTCAAGGCCCTGCCCTTAACAGCTGCATGCCCTGACGCTGAGCTATCAGATCAACACCCCACCGCGGCCCCCACGGTCCAAGCGCACGAAGTCTGTTATCATAGAAAACGCAAGCACTCAAATGGCTAGCATAGTCTAACGGTTATAAATGCTAGCCACAATCATAGTCACGGAGGAAGCCCTGGGAAGCGACAGGATTTAAAATTTGGGTTCTTCTTTCCACCCGCCCTTCGAATTGAAGCGGCCGAGCTGCGACGCAGAGAGGCCAGCAGTAGAGTCTCGAGTCGAACAGGCTGCAGGGTTACAGAACCCGTCTAGTAGCCCACGTAGACCCCTCTTTGCAAGGAGCTTGTTGAATGATGCGAATGGGGCGCTGTAGTTGTAGTAGAGTTTTGATGTCTAAGATTAGGATTACAAGGGGAGTGTCTAGAGTCCGCCAAGGATTTCCAGGATTAGGACCCCCACCTTGCGGAATGAAATTTGGTCAGCCGGGGATGGTAGAGGTGGGGTTCAGGGTTCGGAGTGGAAGCGGAGATCGATGTGCTATATATATATATATAGAGCGATTGTCCCTTGATCCACCTGCCCTGTCAGCTTCGCAGATCTTCCCACAAGCCCAGCGTCGAACCAAGCCGCGCCTTGATGCTACTCCACAGACACTTGATCTAGGTCCTTGTTAGCTACAATGTTACATTTTTGTTATAATACAGCCGAATAAGCATCAAAAGTGATCATTTTTAATATAGCCCCAACAGGGAACCAGTGATCACCTGAAGCAAGCGGTCGCCGTGTCAAGCGTACACTGCGCAATCTGCACGACGATTGGAGAGGATGCCTTCCAGATGTAGTTGGGTTTTCCGTGCAGGTTGCTCATCATGATCCCAAGTGCCTTGGCAATCTTTGGAGTAAACAGGCATTGTGCATTCTGAGTTTGCAGTAGAGGACAAGCAGCACTGCAGCCAGAACTACAGCTCTTACTGCTTGAACTGGTAAGTAGCACTTTCTTGCAGCTGCGACTGCAGTTCAGTGCTGAGTTGCCGATGTCTGCTATCAGAGAAGATCGATCTTTCAGGTGTCTTCATTTTCGTCTTTTCATAATTTGCTGTTCGGTATCTCTAGTTCCGAACGCTTGGTATGAGCATCGGTATCCCTGCCAGTATTGCGATACAGTGTTGTCAGCCATCCGGTCCGGCTCATGCAGGAGTGCGGCTTGCCAGTCTCTGTAGTCTCCTAGCTGACGGTCGGTGTACTCAGGCCCAGAGCAGTTTACGCTTCACATCTGCACCTTCCTGCTCCTCGGACTGTCACTTCGGCCGGGGCTGCAGGTGTATCTGAGCTTGTCGAGAAGGCTTCGTCATTGAAATTGTCCTGCGTGGCTGCTGCTTTGTTTCGGTCATCCATAGGCGCTCCTGAAATGGGAAATCCACCGGTTCGACAACCACCCTACTATGTCACTATGTCAAAGTTTTGCGTTTCTTGGGACTGAAAGTAAAGCAAGTGTGCACCAGGCCCACTAGGCACATAATTTCTTGATCTGCGCGTTAGGCCGCAGGCTTAATCATGAGAAAGTCTCGGCTTTCTGGGCTCGGCGGCATTGTAGACGGTGCAAAGTTTAGGTGTTTCTGTGCAGCGTGTGCCTGAAGCTCCTTATTATGTAAGGCTTGGCCACTGAGCCCGAAGCCCTCCGGTCTATCCTGATCTTCAGAGAGTGATGTAGCCTTGCAGCAGCTGCTGCCTTTTGGGGGTTTTGGAGATACCACGTAGTTGTCTCAACGAAGTCATCTCTTCGCGGACCAGAGATGCCCCACACCAACTTAGGGTCTAGGGGTTTAGGATTTAGGGTTTAGGGTGCGCTGGCACACAATCCAAGCCCATGCTGAAAAGGGTGTAGGGTTCAGCCTTGCAAGATGTCGGTCACGGTAAATGTTGGACTGCTCAGTGGCAGGACAGTTGCAGTGACAGCAGGCTTGGAAGAAGTGGTGCGGTGTCTAAACCTGCGAGCACAGACGGCACTTGGTGTGGGTAGAGGGCGACTGGTGCACTCATCCGGAAGGCTTCTGGATGCATGCTCGACGATCAAGGATACCGAGCTTCAGACTGGTGACTCATTAACCTTGCACGTGCATCGAGTTCAAATCCAGGCATGTGGCGGCGCTTTTGCTGCCATTCTTGGCGATGGCTGCGTCGTGACCTGGGGCTATGCTGCCAAAGGTGGTGACAGTACTGCTGTTCAGGATCGGCTGAAGAACGTGCAGCAGATCCAAGCTTGTGGCGCTGGCGGGGCGTTTGCTGCCATTCTTGGGGACGGATCGGTAGTTACCTGGGGTGATGCCCTCCGTGGTGGTGACAGTAGTGCTGTGCAGGCTCAGCTGAAGAACGCGCGGCGGATCCAAGCCAACTGCTATGCTTTTGCTGCCGTTCTTGGCGATGGATCTGTGGTCACGTGGGGTGATGCAGTCTCCGGCGGTGACAGCAGCGCTGTGCAGGATCAGCTGAAGAGTGTGCAGCAAATCCAAACATCTGCAGGGCTTTTGGTGCCGTTCTTGCTGACGGATCTGTCGTGACCTGGGGTCATGCTGCGTTTGGCGGTGACAGCGGTGCTGTGCAGGATCAGCTGAAAGATGTGCAGCAGATACAAGGCACTGTCTTTGCTTTTGCTGCCATTCTAGGCAATGGCTCTGTCGTGACCTGGGGTGATGCTCGCTATGGTGGTGACAGTGGTGCTGTGCAGGATCAGCTGAAGAACGTACGGCAGATCCAAGCCTCCGGCTGTGCTTTTGCCGCCGTTCTTGGTGATGGATCGGTCGTGACCTGGGGTACCGCCAGCCATGGTGGCGACAGCAGCGCTGTGCAGGATCAGCTGAAGAACGTGCAACAGATCCAAGCCACCAATACCGCTTTTGCAGCTTTTCTTGGAGATGGATCTGTTGTGTGCTGGGGTGATCCTCACTGTGCTGGTGACAGTAGAGCTGTGCAGGATCAGCTGAAGAATGTGAGGCAGATCCAAGCTTGTGGTGCTGGTGGGGCTTTTGCTGCCATTCGCGACGATGGGTCGGTCGTGACCTGGGGTGGCGCTTGCTATGGTGGTGACAGTAGTGCTGTGCAAGGTCAGTTGAAGAATGTGCAGCAGATCCAAGCCTGTGCCAGTGCGTTTGCTGCCATTCTCACCGATCAGTCGTGACCTGGGGTGATTCTGCTGGTGGTGGTGACAGTACTGCTGTTCAGGATCGGCTGAAGGACGTGGTGCAGATCCAGGCTGCCCAAGCTCCTGCCGCAGGCTCTTTTGCCGCTATTCTTGGTGATGGTTCGGTCGTCACCTGGGGTGATGCTCGCTATGGCGGTGACAGCAGTGTTGTACAGGAGCAGCTGCAGAATGTCTAGTACAGGAGCCCAAAGAAACTATAATGAGTGCTGATACTATTCCAGGAATACACCAAGGGTATATCTAAGCTACAATGTACCCCGGAAACAGGAACCCGTTGAAGGAACCCTATTCTAATTATGAAGGTCCCTGAACAAAATGCAAGAGCTTGCTCCTCAGGCCCAACGTACTTTGCACACAGGCCTTTGCATTGGGTACTTAATTGTCAGAGATATTCCTACTAGTAGTTAATCTTCTCTTGCGTTGCACGACCGCTTTCCTACCAAAGCCCCCTAACCCTCCACCGCCGAGGGCAACGACTGGGCTGGTTGGCTTGGCGACATGGGTTCTCTGCACGCGCGTAATGACGGAGAGCAAGAACACAGGCAGGGTGGTCGAGCAGTTCCGGTTTGGATATGTTGGTGGCGGCGAGATTACGGAACTTGCAGTGCTTGTGAATCTTTAGGTGTTTGATTGAGTCGATGGTTGTTTCTCTTGTCTGAGTCTACGACTGTCATTGGCCGACAAGCATTGTGATTACATAGAATCTCATGTCAGGCGCCGCCGATGACTTCTTCGCAGGTGGCCGATCACTGAAATGGCGCCCGGCTTTAATCGGGTCAGATGCCTCACCAGACGCTGCGCTTCAAGACGCCCAAATTCCACCGAAGAATCACATCCGCGTTTCTATCCGGACCCGAGGTATGTGGTCGCAGGTTCGTTGATGCTCACGAACCTCTCCACTGAGCAGTTGGTGGGCCTGAACGGCAATGTGACCTGATCGCAGTAGCATTGGTTGGACAGGCTCGGTACGCAGGACTATTTTTTGGACTAGTGTGTAGGACCGGAATCGGCCTGGGTCGAGTGTGACTCCAGACTTGCTTGCTTGGCGCAATCTGTCGTAATCATGTTTTTAGCTTCCCCATTATTTGCTGCCGTGACCTTCCTCTTCCCTTCGCTCACAGGTCTACAAGGATCGGAACCTGGCCGGGATTTGGTTCGAGGCCAGCTTCCTCGGCTTGTCTCCTTTAGGGTTTGGGGTTTAGGGTTTCGGGTTGGCGGAGAAGGCATTCGGCTCAGCGACTTAAGCATCACTCCTTCGAAAGTCATTCTTCCCTTGTTCGGCTCCGCACATCTACTCATGATGGATCCCTCGCCCCAAGAGGGCTCGGAGGTCTTGTCTTGTCCTGCCAGGCCGGTGCAGCGATAGCTATGGTGATGACCGCCACCGTTTTCTTGCATCTTGGCTGGAAACCAAACTTCTGTCGGGGTGCACGCGATTCCGTGCAAATGGATGCCTAAAGAATCTGCACAGATCCCTCAGACCCGTGAGATCCCGTGAGCAAGCAGTCTGTTTGTCACATCGACTGAGCAGTCTGCCTGTTTAATGCTGGCTCAGCTTGCCACGAACTCGCTGTG